ATATTAGCTACAAGTGGATCCAGCAACAAAATGTTGCAGGAAGAAACGTTCCTGCTCAGTCAACCGCCCGGGCCCTCCTCCACAATATTTCAGACCGATTTCCAATTAGGCGGTTGTATTTTGGGAGTTTCCCCATGGTGGGCTGAAATTAAAAAGCTTGATAAAAACCTGAAAAGGGTAGCAATTCTGTAATGATGGCTTCCTGGTTCATGGCAGTTGTAGTTGGTCATTATATCTGAACTGGTCAGACTCTAGTTACTGCTTCCTTTTGCTTCCAAGCCAGAGAGGCATTGTGTGAGTCCCCATCTTCCCCCTCACCCAGATGTATTCCAGAGTGTTGTGGGGACCTCAGAGCAAGTTTGGGGCATGTGGGTGGAGAGTTCAATTGAGTGAGCAGAAGTCATTCTACTTGTGGAATGACTCCTTTGGATGCTGCTCCACAACTGGAAAACCAGTTTGAAGCACCTATTCCAATTCTTGTTTGGAGAAAACAATGGGTTATAGCAGGGATGTGAGAGACCTGGTGCCCTACAGCTGTTTGAAGACAGCTTCCATAAGCTGCCTGGGGCTGGTAGGATGGAAGCCACAGATCCCCCTTCATTGTGACAAGGCCATTTTACTTCTATGTATTCCCTAACCAAAATCTATGCCTGTGCACAGACTAACCTGTCTGTAGCACAAAAAGGTTGTGTTTTCCCCCCTCGATCCAGAATTGTTCCTGCGCATCCTCAATATGCTGCTTTCCATCTAGATTGATTCTAGATACAAAAGTGGGTGTGGTAACTTCAGGGGTCAGCAACCTTTTCCAGCCGTGGGCCAGTCCACCATCCCTCAGACCTTGGGGGGCGGACTATATTTTTTTGGGGGGGGATGAACGAATTCCTATGCCCCACAAATAACCTAGAGATGCATTTTAAATAAAAGGACACATTCTACTCATGTGAAAACACGCTGATTCCCGGACCATCCACGGGCCAGATTGAGAAGGCGATTCTTAGGTTGCCTACCCCTGGGTTACTTGATAAGCCTTTGAAAACCCTTCCCTAGAGTCAGTTATCCACACCTTTTCTTCCCTGTACGTGCCCCAGGGGAATGAAGAAGGAAATGGTGGTTGTGATCTTGGCTTATATACCCACCCACAACAAAGTTGGGCAAGTGTGGACACCCCCCTCCCCCCATTTTATGGACCTCCAACATCTGTTTACTTCTGTTTTCAAATGCACACACCATATGAATCAATCTGCAATAAGTTTTTATTTTTGCAATGAAACCAGTTTCTCAATGAGCGCTTTTCAGAGACAAAAATGTGCAATAGATCCATATTGTTTGTGGACTACAGAAAAAAATACTTGGTCTCCATTGATTCTTCGATAAAATGTTGCATGTACGTAGCCTATGATTGCTTCATGCATGCTTGAAAATTAATATGTGGACGTAATAACATAAGATGGTTAACAAGAATCATATGGGCAAGGTGCATTTTCAAATACCGTAGTACTTTTTTTTAAAGTGACAGGGATTTTTCTTTGAAAGGATCTACCAGCAAAATGCTAAATGGATGCATTTATACAATTATCCTGATTTTATACTGCACCAAAAAAGGACTTCTCTGGAAACACTTAAGATGTGCATAAAAACATTGTGTGACATAATGAGCTCCTGGGCTTTACAAGTGCCAAAATATACATATAGTTGAGCCTAAAAATACATTTTACATAAACTTATATGGGTTTCCTCATGAGTCTGGAATGACTCCCCATGAACCTGTGCCCCGTCCCACCACACTGCAGCAATAAGTGTTGCATAGATGGGAATTACAGAATAGACATTCTTGCTGCTTAGAGGGAAATATTTAAAGCATTTTTTTTTTTAAAAAAAGGAATGCTAGTGAAACAAGTGTGGGTAGGTGAGACAGACAGACAAACAAACAAACAAACAAACAAACAAACAGAGAATGAAGTGTTAAATCTGTGGTGTGCATAAGGCAGAAACGAACCACCCTGCTATTTTGCACAGAAAGTCATGTAGCCACTCTCACTAGTTATCCAGATTATGTTCTGCCATAATGAGATAATAGTTGCCGATATTGATTAAGTGGTAGAGAGTTTGCATGCCTGCCTGTAGTCAACTACTTTAGAGTTGAGGAATTGAGAATGGGACAATTCCAAGCTGAGGTCCTCATAGCCTTTTTTCTCATATTGGTGAAATTGGAATAGTAGCAACTCATCTCAGAGGAGTCTTTGATTCATATCTTGTGATGTGGGAATATTATGTACCCCATGTCTTCCACAAGGCTGTTGCTATGTGTGCACGCACCTCAGGTTAATAAACCTGTGTCTGTATGTGAGTCTGCATAATGCAGTTACAAAATTTCTCAAAATAATTAAAACGTTTAATAACATAGAATGTGTTTTTCTAGTAAAGAAAAAGGGGTTTTAAAAATTCTGCTTATAAGGCTGCACTAAAGCCTGATAGGTTTGCAAACAGAATCCTGTGGGATGATTCCTTGTGCACAGCTTCGTCTGGGACTTTGCAAGGAAGAGTTTGAAATTATTCAGTGCCAATGTGGAAGAGTTACAAGAAGACTCAGAAGTTGTGCGCCACCTAGTGGCAGATACAGAAAATGTGCACATAAGGCCGCTTTTTATAAAAATAAATACAGTGGTACCTCGGGTTAAGTATTTAATTCGTTCCGGAGGTCCATTCTTAACGTGAAACTGTTCTTAACCTGAAGCACCACTTTAGCTAATGGGGCCTCCTGATGCCGCAGCACAATTTCTGTTATTTCTGGGTTAGCAGAGTCTGTAACCTGAAGCGTCTGTAACCTGAGGTACCACTGTACTGTATTTCAAAATCTACAACAGGGCAATACCTTTATTGGGACCAGAGAAAATGTCACAGAAGTGTGGCAAGCTTCCAGGTTCTCCTGAACAACCTTCATCGGGTATTGTACACAAAGCAGAGGGAAGCAGAGAAGTACAACAATTAGGCTTAAGTAGTAGGCAAGTGGTTAGTTTGTAGACTCACTTCTAAGGTAGAGATTGTAGATATACAGATATTCTGAAATCACATTATTTAGAATGATCTTATATTTTAGACTGACTGGAAGAAGTACGAATATGTCTCCCTTTGAATATTACCTTGCTTATATATTGCTTTAACTGTCTTACTAATAGAAAGACAGTTAGAAATATATTGCTTTAACTGTCTTACTAATTTACTTTTTCCTTGTTGTGTAAACAATAGATGCTAATTCTTTGTAGATCTTTGACATTTGCACAGATACGGGTTTTATTTATTTAAATGAGCTTTCCCTCTACGTTGAAATGTTCTCAAAATGGATCACAAAATAAATAACTGCAAATAAGAAAATAAGAAAACACCAAGCAATTGTGACCTTATAGACCTTCCCCGTTCAACTTGAGGAAGGTTGGGGGTTGAGAAGAGGGTGGTACGTGTAAGGATATTGGGGGCAGGGTTTTTTGTGTGCCCCCTTTCCATACTTAATTGAAGCATATCATGTTATCCAGAATTTCAGTACAAGATTGGTTGCGCACAGTATAGGCACCTACCAGTCTCATCACTATTAAGTAATATTTGTACAAATTACTCTGGTTGATAGTGTATGTTGAACACAGCTGGTCAGATGTTTGAATCAAGACATTCACATGGTTTGTCACTTTAAAGTTTAAAATCAAGTATGGTTTAATTTGAACATGTTCTTTGCTCCTCTCTCACTCCTTCCTGCAGGGGAAGAAACAAACCAGAGCCTGGCTTTGTGTTACATGCAGAACAGCACTTGTAGTTTGTTGCTGCAAAACAAATAGTGAATAGTAAGGCAACAACAGTTGTCTTACTGTGCCTGTGGTTTGTTACAAGGAAACAAACCATGAGTGCTGGTTCATCACGAAAAGCTAGCATCTTGATTGTATCCTCCAGGCTGAAGAGAGATAGGAGCCAAACACCTGCATTTTAGCAGCATCTACCAGCTTGTTCACATTAAACTATAATTTATTTCAAACTAGGGTTTAAAATGATGTACAAATAGGGGCATCGTTTCATTCTGTTAGCAAAAAATATATGTATGAAGTGGGATTATCTAGCTGTCTTCTGCCATCACAAGTCCAAATTGCACTGAAATAAACAGAATGGCTTTTATGCCATTGTGTTTTACAATTGCAGTGCTGTTTTTGAAGCAAGGAGCAAGAATTTGAAAGACTAAACTATAGCGGGTCCCCCTCCCTGCTTGAGTTTACTAGGTGGGTGGAATCAGTAATCTGGATAGGAGAAGCAAAGAGAAAAAGCACCACATGCAACGAAGAAGCAAGAGAGAGAAATGGTTTCTTAAGTGTCTTGACTTTACCGAAGCACAACATGGTTCCGGCTAGGTCAAGCCATTCCACCCGTCTACAAAATGAAAGCAAGCGAATACATATAAATAAAACCTTCGCAATCTTTTCAGTGCTAGGCAAAAACATTTTTATTTGGCAATACATCTCAGGTTGCTGTAAATCCTAGTTTTGCTCTTATTTGCTGCCTTCCTGTTATTGTTTGATATTGTAATACCAGGTCTGGTTGTATACTAGCCTGGAATCCAAATTGGATGATGGGTAGTGTGTACATGTTTTAAATAAATAAAATATTATAAGATGTTATAACAAGGTGCAGCATCAATGTACTGAAGATCCTAAGTTAAACCATAATATTGCATAATTCTTTATCGTTTTTAAAAATAAAAATAACAATCAAAAAGAGTTTGTAACCTGAGGTACCACTGTACAGGATTAGCAAAAAATGATAATTTTTACAGAATAATTTTACAATAGGGTTTATTGGGATATTTTAAAATGCGTTTTCTTCAGTATTTTATACATCCTTTTTTTTATTTTGTACTTTTGTAATTGCGTATATGATCCTACATAAGTGTTGTGGTTGAAACTAAGATGAGCAGGTTAGGCAATGTTTACATTGTCTCCCCCCTTTTTTCCTGTCCATTGCAGGCATGGAGAGTGCAATCACATTGTGGCAGTTCCTGTTGCAGTTGCTTCTCGATCAGAAACATGAGCACCTAATTTGTTGGACATCTAATGATGGTGAATTTAAGCTACTTAAGGCAGAAGAAGTGGCTAAGCTGTGGGGACTCAGAAAAAACAAAACTAACATGAATTACGACAAACTGAGCAGAGCGCTGAGATACTACTATGACAAGGTAATTTTAAAAATTCTATTTGTACAGTGCTTAAACAAGAAAGCAAAGAGTAGTAATATGCTTGTTAAAGTTGGAGTGCTGCCTTTTGGCTAAAAAGAGCCCCCCAAGGCTGCTCACAAAAGTTAGCACGAATACAAAATTCAGACAGTAAAATACCACTTCAGCCAGCCATATATATCAATAATATATTTTAAGGTCTTTATTTTTTTAAAAAAAACTAAAAGCCAAACGCATCATTTTCCTTGCCTAAATGCAAAAAAGCAACCCCCTCAAAATGTCAAAAACAGTGCAGCAGTAAATTCCCCAGCAAACTGCCACCTAAAGGCAGGGTAGCCTACAGACAGTCTATAAGGAGGAAGCATTGTCAATCAGATTCCACATATTATATTCTATTATGTTAGGCTGTTGCCTTTATAGAATGTCAGACTCTTAGTCTGTCGGACCCAGAATTGACTACTCTAACTGGCGGTGGCTCTCCAGCTTCTCAGGCTGAGGGTCTTTCTCATCCCCTGTTACCTCAGGGCCAGATCTTATCTCCTCTAGCACTTGCAGGCCAAATTTGACAGGAAGGTGGGGGCTGCCCACCTGTCAGTCACCTGATGTCACAATGATGTCAGGTGATGGAGTGCTCTGAAGTCCCCCACAAGCAGCCAATCCCAGCTGGCCTCCTGATCAGCAGGGACATCAAAACTTCCCTTGCCAGTGCATGTTTACGAGTGCACTTAAAGGCTCCCAATTGGTCACTGGCAGCCACATCGTCACCTGCCTCTCACCTGACATCACAAGGGGCTTCAGGTGTGACACAGGTGGGCATGGTTTGGGGGAAATGGACTTGTGGCCTAAGCAACCACGTCAGGCCCAAGTAAACCCACAGGCTACCTGATTTTTTTAACTTGAAATGCCAGGAATCAAACCTGGAGCCTTCTGCCTCGTAGAGGAGATGCTGCTCGCTGAGCTACTTTGTGAAAATACTAACGAATGTCACACTTGGTTTGCTGTTTAATGCAGAACATCATCAAGAAGGTGATTGGGCAGAAGTTTGTGTACAAGTTTGTGTCCTTCCCTGACATTTTAAAGATGGATCCTCATGCTGTGGAGATCAGCAGGGAGAGCCTTTTGCTGCAGGACAGCGACTGCAAGATGCCTCTTGAAGGTAGAGAGCAACACAAGCATGGCTTGGCGGCCCTGAAAGGCGCAAGCCGTAATGAATATATCCATTCGGGGTTGTACTCCTCTTTCACCATCAACTCCCTGCAAAACCAGCCAGAAACTCTCAAACAGATCAAAACAGAGAAGCTGGAGGAGAAACAGGAGGGGCCCACCCCTCTGGAAGAAGTCCGGACTGTTATAAGGTTTGTGACAAACAAATCAGACAAGCAAGTCATGAGGCCCATAGTCTCCCTGCCATCAACATCTGAGGCAGCCGCTGCTTCTGCTTTCTTAGCATCCTCTGTCTCTGCAAAAATATCCTCACTAATGTTGCCCAATGTTGCCAGCATCTCGTCGGCTTCGCCATCTTCCTCCCGGTCGCCGTCTCTGTCTCCGAACTCACCCCTCCCTTCCGAACACAGAAGCATCTTTTTGGAGTCCAGTGGCCAGGATTCCGATTCTCTCGAGCCCCTGAACCTCTCGTCAGGATCCAAGGCAAAATCTCCTTCTCTTCCCCCAAAGGCTAAGAAACCCAAAGGTTTGGAGATCTCGGCACCTCCAATGGTTCTTTCAAGCACTGACCTCGGCTCCATTGCCCTCAACAGCCCAGCACTCCCCTCAGGATCCCTGACTCCTGCTTTCTTCACTGCCCAGGTAAGACTTTGACAGGGGAATCCTATGCATGTTTACTTAGAAGTAAGCTCTGCTGAGTGTAGTGGGACTTACTCCTGTGTGTAGAGGATTGCCAACTGAGTTCCTTTTAGTGATGCCCATAGCGTGCACTTGGGAAATGTGCCTCCCCCCCCCCCCAGGACAGAAAGAAAAAAAGCAGCATGTAGTTTATTAAGAATGTATGAGTCCTTTTTCTATTAAAATGTTCCTTAGATTAAAAATACAACCAAGTTACTTATTTTTTAAAGCAGTTATTACAAATAAAACAAATACAGCAGGAGCAAAAATCAAGAGAGCAGCAGTCAGTAAAATATGTAAAAGCAGTAATACATCAGCATAGGCGAAATTGAAAGAGGGCCAGTGTGGCAAAATGGTTAGAGTGTTGGACTATGACCTAGGAAACCATGGTTTAAATCCCCACTCAGCCATGAAGCTCACTCTCTTCCCTTAACCTACCTCACAGGGTTGTTGTGAGGATGACATGGGGGTGGGGAGAACCATGTACACCACCTTGAGATCCTTGGAAGATAGAAGTGGCATTCAAATGTAATCCATCCATCCATCCATCCATCCATCCATCCAACACTGGGGAAATGAAAAGGTCTTAACCTGAATGACAGTAGTTAAATAAATAAATAAAATAAAATAAAAAACCACTGGGGAAATGAAACCGTCCTAATCTGAATGACTGTAGTTTAGGCACCTCCCAAATCTTTGTGGGAAGGGTGTTCAAATAGGGGCACCACCACTGAGAAGACCCAGCTCAGCAATGCTCTGCCTTCCATGTAAATTTCATTCCTGCATCAACAGCTTTCCAGGATGGATAACTCACCACTTCCAGCTATCTGCTAGAAACCTATGCACATGTTCCCCATGACAAATCTTGCATAGCATTGGGGCTTATGGGCACATTTGCAAAGTGGAGATGCTGTTAGGGGCACTGCACACACACACGCGCGCGCGCACACACACACACACACACACACACACACACAGAGCAAGAGAGCAATCAAATACATGTAAACCCACTATTGCCCATCTGCTCTCAGTTAGGCTTTTGCTTTTCTTCAGGCCAGATCTTGGGTGGGTGTGTTGCTCTTGCTGGAGAGTGCAGCTGGGAAGCAAGAGATCACACCCCTCCACAACAATTAGGCTTGGAAAAAGCCTTCTAAGAAAGTGGACACTTTCGATGCCAGGAAATCTGGATGCTTCCATGAACAAGAGGCCAGACTGTCCGTCCCCCCGCCCTTTTCAAAGCTAGTCGGCAATCATAACCTTAGAGTGGGATAGACCGTTAGCAGCTTAATTACATTTTGTAGTTTGCTGGCACCGTGGCCTTTCTCAAACAAAATATGAAATGACATGTTTAGGTCAAGCTGTTTTCTTTAATCATAAAGTGGTTTTGCGGTATTCAGAATAAAAAAGGCTGACTCCTTAAGGGCAGAATGAGTGTCTATGCAACTGTCTCTCCCTTTTGCATTAAGCATCAGATGGGCTTTAAGTCTGGAATCCTCTGTCACTGAATCCCAGGCATCATCTGCTTACATTAGCCATTTGGTAACAACAGAAGGTTGGTGCTCTACACTAGCATTGAAAGGTACACATCGTGCTAGTGAGAACTGGGTGCTCTCTTTGTTGTCTTTGGGAGGTTGTTGATGGAAATCAGTTGCAGTCCTCCTCTTCCTTCGCTGCCATCTTGCAAGAGTCGTGTGTTATTCAGTCCAGCATCAGTTCAGAAACTGCTATTTTAACATGGTAACGTGTATTTTAAAGCAGCATTTTTGTATTAAGATATGTACAGCCTGGTCCTTTCTGGAAACAACTGAAGACACTTTAGTTTTGTTGACCTTTTCTGGCTTGATGAAAAGGTGTCTCTGTCTAGTTTTTAAAAACTAACCTTATTAATACTCTAAAATGTCAGACAAACTAACTCTCTGCAGGGAACACAGACACTGCACCATAAAGCATCCATTCTTTAAGTGTTAAAACACATAATAACCTGGCTGGGATGTTAGCCCATCACATTCCAAATCTACCTCTTTTGGGGTTAAAGCCGCTTGGCTGGGACAGATGGGAATTGTAGCCCAAAACATCTGGATGGCGCCAGAGTAGAGAAGGCTGGCTTAAAAAATGCTCTTTGCTCAAACCTTGTATAGAACAATAGGATTCCAACCTTGTGCTGATGAGGGAGCAGAGCTTAGCCAAAAGACATGTGGTAGAACAGTTAACACTAAGCAGCGATCAACTCGGTTTATGATGCTAAAAAAGGAAACCTAGTTATTTTGGGTATGAAAGCCTGAGACTTTGCAGTTCCTTTAAAAATAAATGACCTGACAGTTGCTTTCTGAGCTGTGGGCTGCTTGCAAAAGAAATCTCAGATTTATTCATTCATGAGTCATGCTGCTGAAAATAGCATTTGAAAATCGACACAGGCCTAGCTAGGTAGATTTGGGCTACAAACTACTAACCTGGGCGCATGTTCCATGGAGTTCAACAAAATGCACCTCGGCAGAAACATGCACAAGATTGTGCAGGAAGCTTCAGCAGGATGGCTGGGTTGGTCTGTTGCAGCAAAAGCATCAGTCTTCCAGCATGTTAAATGCCAGTTCATAAATTGTGGCATAAGCTTTGAAATGGACTCTAGTCCATGAAAACTTGCTGTAATAAATGTGCCAATGTTTAAGGCACCACTTGGCTTTTTGTAGTTGTAGCTGTATAGTGGCAACCCTATACACTTTCTTGGGGAGTAAGTCCCAGTGGCTAGGAGATTTCAAAGTTGCATTCTGTGGGGTCTTATTCTGTCATCCTACAATAAATATACATTTTATGGTAAATATACCATTTATGGTATACAATTATGTCCACTTCTACTCTTCTTCAAAGATTAAAAGTGAGAACAATGTCTGATATTTATGGAAATTTTTGTTGCCTTAGTTTGGTAACTTCCACCTAAATATACATTTGTGGATCATTGCTAGTACTAATTTCTTTTGCTGCATGTGAGCTAATGATGGCAAGCAACGAGGAAGAACCATTGTTCAGTGGTAGAACATATTCTTAAGCTAAATCCAAGCTAAATCCCTCATCATGTGATAGTCAGTATGGAGCTGTCCAGAATATATGCAGCATGGGGGGAAAAGCAATGTTCATACTTTTTTTTACCTTCTCTGTTAGAAAACAAAGTGCCTTCTCATTGTCAGCTGGGCAGATGTATCATGTGATTGTGGCAAAACAAAACTGAGCACGATGAGGCAGTGAAACTGCTTCCTTATTAAGAAAAGAGGTACTTTGCTCTAGAGTGATGTCATATCCTACAAAGGACACATTCAGCAACATTAACTTGAAGTGTTAATAAGCAAAATAACTTGCAGAGTAAACAAGCAGAGGAAAGGAAAGTGTTATGCTCAAAGATAATAATAATAATAATAATAATAATAATAATAATAATAATAATAATATCAGCCTAGAGATTCTGCCATGGCCAAAAAGCAAAAATGAACTAAACAGTAGTGATTTTTGTCATGTATTCTGGAGCAAGGGCTGACTTAGTTTAGACCTGTACAGCCTTCGTATTCTAGTTGTTTTTTCATGTGTTAGCACTTAAAAGTGGCTATAGAATATGCAGAGTACATTGGTTTTGCTCAGTGCTTTGGACTCACACAGTAAAGCTAGGCCCAAAGGATTGCAAACATAGGAAGCTGCTGTATACCAAGTCAGGCCAGCGGTCCATCTACATCAATTTTGCTTATGGTGACTGACATTGCCTCTCCTGGGTTTGAGAGACAATTTTCCCCAGCCTTAGCTGGAGGCGGCTGGAATTGAACCCATGACCTGATGCATGCAGAGCAGTTGTTCTGCCGCTGAGGTATGGCCCCTTCCCCTAAGGGGCATTGACACGAGGAGTGTCTTGCAAATGCTTAGGCATCCACACAGTGTGATAATAGGCAGATTCTATGGCAGTTCATGTGCTTTTGCTTACATACACACAGCTTTGGATCGCAGAGTGCTCTTGTGTGAGACAGCCCTTTTGTGAGGAGAAGGGCATATTTGGACCCTCTTTCTCCATCATTTTCTGCTCATAGTTCCCATTTCCAAGAAGAATCAGCTAGAAAGAAGTTGCATAGGGACTCACCCAGAGAAAGCACAGTACATGCAATGACAATTCTTACACCAAATCCCTGTTAAAATGCTAATGTTAAAAATCCCAAGGTTCAGAAAGGAAAACAGTTTCTAAGCACAAAACATCTCTCTGAGAAAAAGCTATGGGGCGAAGCAACGAGGAGGGCCCCCCGTAACATTCAGCCTGGCTATGTGAGTCAAGACATGGCTAAGCCAAAGAGTAGATGAACGTCGGAACACACGTCGTGTGTCTTTTGTCTTGCAGACCCCAAATGGATTGCTGTTGACCCCGAGTCCCTTGCTTTCTAGCATTCACTTCTGGAGCAGCCTCAGCCCCGTCGCTCCTCTGAGTCCTGCCAGGCTGCAAGGACCAAACACCCTGTTCCAGGTAGGTTGGAGCAATGACTCTGCTCTCTTAGGTGGCGCTTTCTGGCCAGGTAGCCAAAGGAACCTTTTTGTGGCTGGGGGCGGAGGCATTTCCATTCTGAAAAGAGGTAACATCAGATGTACAAAAACAATACCTTCTCTCAGGAAAGGAGCTTCAGTAACAGGGTGAGAGACAAAGCAATGAAGATGCCAGAAGGCAGGAACTTTACACATTGCGCTGAGGGAGGTTTACTGCTTCTCTGGAGTCAGCCTCCTAAAGGGGCAGGCGATTGTTATCACTAGGGCAGCAGCAGAGGTGGCTTCGGTTGATAATTATAAGCCAAGCTGAGATAGCTCAGTTGGTAGCACATGAGACTCTTAATTTCAGGGTCGTGGGTTTGAGCCCCACGTTAGGCAAAAGATTCCTGAATTGCAGGGGTTTGGACTAGATGATCCTCATGGACCCAACTCTCAAAGTTTTTGATTCTAAGTCCCCCCTCTGTCATAGTTAGTGAAAACACATGTGCCAGACACCTTGATGATACCTTGATGAAGATGTTGACGCAGTGCGCGGCACCTGTGAAAAAGGCAAAAATCCTTGCTAGGGATCAGTAGGAAAGGAATTGAAAACAAAATTGCCAATATCATAATGCTATTATACAAAGCTATGATGCAGCTGCATTTGGAATACACCATGTGCTGTTCTGGTTGCCTCAACTCAGAAAGAGGTTCAGAAAAGGGCAACCAAAATGACCAGGGAGATAGAGCAACTCCCCTAGGAGGAAAGAGAACAACAGTGGTGTAGGGCTTTTTTAGTTTAGAGAAAAGATGAGCAAAAAGGGACACAATAGAAATGTGGAAAATTATGCATATGGAGATACTTTGGGACATCCAACAAAGCGAAACGCTGGAGGATTCAGGGCAGATGAAAAAAAGTACTTCTTCACACTGCCCACAGGAGGCAGTGATGGCCACCCACTCAGATGGCTCTGAAACAGTAGACAAATTCATGCAAGCATGGTAGCTGCTGGCCATGGTGGTTTTGTTCTGCTTCCACTGTCAGCGGTGGTATGCTTCTGTATACCAGTTGGCCACACAGTGCTGAACTGGGTGGGCCATTGGCCTGATCCTGCAGGCTTCTCTTATGTTTTTTTGGCAGCTCTGATGTTTCAGCCAAAATATGTCAAAGAGGCTGTACGTCAAAACTTATCTGTGCATGGGAAAACAGAAACCCCCCCACACAAAAGAACATGAAGATTTCTCAAGAGGATTAGCATGCCCCATCTGAGGCTGTGTTGAGGGAAGCTGCAAGAACAGTTTAAAATCACAAGGATTAAAAATGTAGAGAAAGCGCTCATGAATCGCAGGGGCATCTTGGCTCCATGAGTACAGTATCATGTGGGGGGTTTTCAATCCCTATTTTTAAAAGGGAGAAATTATACTGGGTATGAAAATGTTAGCACCATCACCTGGAATTTGGCTTCCTTGGCTGACGCAGGAAAACTACACTTACCAATAACAGGAAGGAGTAAATTTATGTCAGGGAAGCACCTGGAGCCAGCAATGAAGATGTAACTGCAGGGTTACCATGCCGTTGAAGTGAGTGGGGGCTGAGATCACCAAATTCCTGCCACACAGGGCACTTCAATGTGTGTCCGTAAATGCAGCCTATAAGAACTGTAGGCTTTTTATTAAAACTCTGTAGCAGCAGTGCTGCGGTATGCTATCTGCAAATATTCAAGTTTGTGTTGTGCTAGCTTGCATTCCCATCTGCATTCCTGGGTTTAGGTTTAAGGATTTTTTCATACAAAGAAGACAAGGATTTGTGCTGAAATACGGGTATCTGGTTGCAATATACCTGCTTCTCATGTTCAGGTCAGAGTCCTGTTGCAAACGTCTCTAAAAACTGGTGGCTTTAATATTGTTTTTGTTGTCGTTGCCTACTACAGCCATGCAAACATGCTTGCATTCGTTCATTCCACCCCTTAATAAATTAACAATTGTGTGCTTATACAAATTGGTGTGCTCAAGGCATTCCCACCAAGTATAAATTCCCTCTTTGTCCTATTAAATGTTTTTCTGCTGAGTGTGTGCACTCAGGAGGTGGGGAAAGAAACCACACACCCCCTAAGTGACACTGGGTAGTATTTAAGCAGAAATGGAAGCTGGGGAGAAGGTGTTGCAGGGAAGGAGTTGTGGGCTGTTCCCAGGTTGTCAATATACAATGCACCTCGTGCAAACCAGATTCATATCCAGTATATACTGCAATGCATTATGTGAAATAGTCCAGTGTTTTGTAGATTGTGGTTGTACAGGCTTGATCCTGACTCTAAAATGCACACAAAAGGAGGAGAGAGGAAAAAAGTTTGGAGCATATACAGCACTAGATATAGAGCATTTGGAAGAAAACACTTGCCAACAAAATCTGGGGATGGACCCCAACTTGTGCAGCACAGCTTCAAGAACTAGAGTCCCGAAAAACCCAAATATCCAACTCCCCATATATCCTCACTAAGCTTCAACAACTGTTCTGACTTAGAACACAACCTGCTTTGCAGCCGTGCTCCTAGGGCTCTCTTTCGCCTCACACGAACTCCCTTATTTTTAGCATTTCATAATTTTGCACACTTGATTAGAGCCATCCAGCTAGGATCAGACAGAAGCACCCACGACTTGCCCTGTAGTGAGAGCCAAGTGCATCCAGCACCTATTAGTGGTAACTGGAAGTGAAAAGGGGATCCAGATCCGTCACATCAAGGGCCCTTATTTGACTAACGTGTGGTTCAGAGAAAGGCCAAGATGACAAATCTATTAGCATAGGAAAAGTGTTCTTCCCAAGAACCAAATAAGAAGTGGCAACAGCCGCTGAGCCTGAACCTGATCTAACTCACCAAGGATTTGACTTGTTTCTTTCTTTAAAGGGCTCACTGCGCTCACTTCCATCTTCACAGGTAAAGCCTTTCCCGATCAAGGGTGCTTTGAGGGCAAAGTACAGCACTGCATATTGTGAGAGCAAGTTTTGTATCCGGGATAATATGTGGATGGGCAGAGTGCTGATATCTCAACTAACGTTCCGGACAGGGGTTACAAAACAAATTTTGTCTACACATAGGATGCAGATTTTCTCCTTCCAAAAAAATAATAATATTGAGATGGGGGCAGGGGGCAGATATCAACATTCCAAGAAAGCTTGCTTTACCTTTTCTCAAGGTTTTCCTTATGATCACCTTTTGAGGACATACTTTATTTATAAAGCTTAAGCCGATAGTGTGCTTTGGTTTACAAAAAAAAGGGCTGGAAAGCAACAAATGGGGCATTACAATGCGGCTCAGGTGATTTCAAGAAACTTGGGGGGGGGGGGAAATGCAGGTGCTGTTACAGAAAATTGAGACGCGCTACTCTGGCACACAAGCCAAAGGAGTTGGACTGGTGAAACTATTTCCCTTAAGTTGGCATACAGGTAAAACAACTTCTGTTTCCCAGCAGATGGGCGAGGAGAGTCCTCCATCCAGCTTACTTCACTGGATCCGGTTAATTGGTAGAGCCTCTTGAGGAATGTAATTAACTTACTCCAGGTTTGAAAGCTTGCAGTATAATTAGGGCAATGAGAGACTTGTTCAAAGCTGCAGTTCACTCTGCAATAAAGGTCTAAAACAATAGCAGGGAAGCACGGCTGGAATTCATCTCAAACATCCCACTGGCTGATGTTGTTTTGCAGCCAGAATCCATACCATTGTTTGTTTTGCATATTATTTGCCCAGTAGTTGCAACTGAGCAGTTCCAGGAAAGAATCTGGGACCCTTCGTGTCAGGCAGTGCACAAACACACAAAGGGAGCTCATTCTGAAGAGCTGGGACTCTGACAAGACATGGCAAGTGAAGGAATAAAGACAAAAAGCTATGGTTGATTGCAGGATTAATTTATTAAGCAAATCAGAGCATTTTGCATAATTGCAGGAAGGATGAACACGTATGTTCCAAATGTCTCTATTTACAAAAAACCTATTAGAATGAGTTGCTGGAGGTTCCTTTCTTCTTCTGCCCCCTATCCCTGAGGGTTTCCTGAAGTTAAGTATCTGACTTGGGTCGTCGCATCTTGTTTCTAATGCCCATGCAATTAAATCCATGCACAGCCTGCCATTTCACATGCTTGGTTGATTGTAACATATTACAGGACAATTACATTTTTCCAGTGTACCTTTAGCAATAACAACACCCTTGCTTCTTTTAAAACAGTACAGGACAGTCAGTTGTAGAGTAGAATTAGAACAGTGGCATGGAGGTGAAGAGCTTTCGACTACATTATTTTTGGGTACACATGCTCCCACAGTCACTCTACTCAAGGAAGTGTCCCTATTTACATTGGTGAAGCAATAAAGACTGTGCCTGAATGGTGGCTGCTTGGGCTGCAGTTAAGATGCAGGCTGTGCTTCTATGAGAGGTGGGTTGGAATTAAAAGTGGATGGGATTCCCCTTCTCTCTCTCTCCCCAATGCCCCTTTCCCTTCCCCGCTCCTTGCCATCTGCATGAAATTAGGCCAAGGGCTGCATGTGGCTTAAGGGAGCACAGGTTGCCCATACATCTTAAAATTATTTGGTAAACTTAAAAAAAAAAGCATTTATGGTTTAGAGTCTAGTGTTATCTCTGGATTGAACCTTAATGCACATCTCAAAGACAATAAAATATTTCTCATTTGTTCCCCTTTTGCAGTTTCCAACTCTGCTCAATGGTCACATCCCAGTGCCAATTCCCAGCTTGGATGGGACTTCTTCTCCAGTTCTCCTGTCTCCAAATGCTCATAAATCCTGATGTCTCAGCAAATTAAAGGACTCAACTCACAAACTGGATTTTACACAGCCATTCTGATGGGTTTCATTTTTCTGGTGACACTGGGAGGACAACATGAAACCCTCTTTTACTATGGTTTGCACTTTTCATTACATGAATGATCTACTTGTATGATGTTTATTTAGCATTTTTAAACAGTGTTTTTTTTATCAGAATCTGTTGTGCATTAAAATGAGTTATAATTTTTTTTATATCCTTGCTCTCCAAGTGTTGAACACTGTTAATGAAGTACTTTTCTTAATAGATTTCAAGACAATTATCTAAAGGATGTGAAACTTTTTAATCCTGTATTTCTGCATATTATGCACCATGCTTGTATAAACTATAACCGGCTGTGCCTTCTTTTGCATAATGTTATATAAATGATTTATATATTTTCCAGTATTAAGGTAAAGGTTGAAAAGGAACCAAGTATTGAACAGCCCCTTCCCCATGCTAGTATTTCAGTATTACCCTTGCGGTAGGCCATATGTTGCAGTGTATTCATGTAATTTTGAATTAAGTGCTTTCCAGTTATATAAAGAATCCTCCTATTTCCTTGCTGAACTGTGGGGCCATAATAAATATTTTGGCCAGTAAGTGTGTTTAAGAATAGGACACTATTTAGATATAGGTGCTTCAATTCTTCTCTGTGGTAAGAGGAACATGGCCTTAAATATTTACAATGTATTTTAGGGACATTCTTAAATTAAGAAGATATAGCCTTGCTCAGTGCCACTCATTTTCATGTATTCATTGACTGAAGAAACTAATCTGATCTTCATTTTCCTGACCATACTCAAGGTATTGTACCTTCTAAGTTAATTTTTCCAGTACTTTGAAGCTAGTGGCTCCTGTATCACATGGCCAAAGGCTTAAAAAACTAGGCAGTTTTGGACAATTTTAAGAAGAGTTTCTAGCCCTCATGATTACATTTTTTTTAAAAAGTCTGTGAGCGTGAGAGACATACAATACAAAGTGTAACGTGTTCAGTAACAGGTTACTTCAGAAAAAATACTACTGAACGCTGTGATTTAATAACACCAAGGTGTTTGTTCTCCTCAGAAAGCTAAAATACTGAAGACTGAGAAATAGAGGTTGTGTCACTTTCTAGAATATCATGACTATAGTTTCCTGAAGATGACATACAACGCAAAAGCAGAATTAAATAAGTCTGGGTGGCATTGTATAAAAAGAGCATTGTGTCCAGGAGCTGTATTCTGGAAAGTATCTCATGCATGCATATTTTATGAACATGTTAACTATATCTAAACACTGAAAATATTTAGATTAAATGAAACATCCCAACCTATGTCACATTCCCAAAGTTCATTTGAGAATTTATATAAACTCCAGTTCTACTCTACACAAAGCCTACTTTAATAAGTCAATCTAACTTGAAAAGCGCTGGTTCCATTGATCGAGAAACAGCTAGACACTCCGGCAGAAATAATAAACTGTTGGTTTTCCAGGTTGTGAAACTGAAGCCTGTGTGTGCTTTTAAATAAAAATATGAATAAGGAATACTGTCCTATAGCTGGTTCCCACTGCACTTTATATCCTCAGAAATGTACTGCAGTGAGGTATATCATTTATGCTTTCTGGAACAGCATTTGCTATTTGAAGAGAGAGCCACTAATCCTGCCCCCTCCATGTTTTCACAGTATTGTATACACTCCTCTACATCTTCCAGCAATCCTCTTCCACCTCTGCAAGAGGCATCATTTCCAATTGCCAAAGTTATCAAGCTCTATAAATGGAAAGCATATCACTGCTGAATACACTCTCACACACTAAATTCTATTTGCCATTTATAGTGGGATTTGGATAGCACATTTTTACACACTGCTTTTACGTAGAGTCTTACATTGTGCTTCTAAAATTATGTTCCACGTTAATTTCCAATATTGTGGTTTCCAGTCTACCATTTGTTGCAAGCAATCAAAACAGCTATTAACGACCTCTGTCTTCCAGGTTTATAACATAGGCATCTTGTAGGTATAGTATATGCTTAAATCCTGGAGGAAGATGGAGCTTGATAAAAGAACTCCCCAAATCCTGATGTTTTAATGATTAAAGACGAAGCATAATCTGTTGGCCCTCCAGTTGCTGCTAAACTCCATTATCCTTGACCGCTGGCCATGATGGCTGGGACTGATGGGAGTTGGAGTCCAGCAACAAGTGGCAAGTCACAGGTTCTCTATCCCGGCTTTACACTTTTCTGTGTTTGATTACAGTGGTGCCTCGCAAGACGAAAATAATCCGTTCCGCGAGTCTCTTCATCTTGCGGTTTTTTCGTCTTGCGAAGCACGGCTATTAGTGGCTTAGCGGCTATTAACGGCTTTAAGAAAAAGGAAACAAACTCGCAAGAACTCACAAGACGTTTCGTCTTGCGAAGCAAGCCCATAGGGAAATTCGTCTTGCAGAACGACTCAAAAAACGGAAAACCCTTTCGTCTAGCGAGTTTTTCGTCTTGTGAGGCATTCGTCTTGCGGGGCACCACTGTATATAAAACAAGAACTATCCCACATCTCAGCAATTTTAGCAGGAAAAGCATAGCAGGGGAAGAGTAAGACAAAATTATTTCTTTTTCAGAGCATTCTAACATACCAACTGTGAGCCTGGTGATTTCCAACTAAGAAGGTATAGCAGGAAAAAGCAAACACAGACCAACTATTCTGTATCAATGGTAATTTTATATTAAGTAAAGAGCAGAAAGCTGAACACAATGGAAGGCACATACCAGTACATTAAACAGTTCTGTGCTGGTTCTCTTTCTCTCAGGTGGCAGGACCAAATATCAGTGTGCTGACAGTGCAAGACTTCATTCTTCCACTTTTTCATCAAATGCAGGCTAGGTACTTTAGTGAAGTCCCTTCCAGGTCAAATGCACCAAGATTAATTAAATCACCTGCCCTCTGTCTTTTCTAGCTATTCTTAAGTGGCATTATGATGTCAAAAGATTTGCCCTGTAGAAAAGTTATAACCGAAGCAGCCTTCCGATTGATTTTCAGTAAGAACTGGGATCACACACTTCCTTTGCAAACAGCCATGGTGCTCTTACTACTTGATGTCATCCGCTCTATATCCCTCTTTAGCCATTACCTGTGTGAAAGCAGAGTAGTGAATAGAGAGGAGGCATGCTTTCCCTAACTCTTGCCCTGCTAGCATTGGGTACTCTTAAGTTTAGCTGCAATTATTTCAGAGGCTTCTCTACTCATGAAAGCTCACCCTGTGATTTAGACTCTTGGAAGATCACAGCTCTTAAGTTGCAAGGGGAGCTTCGACAAGTAAAAAAAGTAAGAATAGACCTGCAGCCCTTTTGTATTCACTCCCCTGAACTGAAGAGGGCTTATGAGTTTTGTAAAGACCAGAAAATGAACATTAAATAATAAAGTGCATACCCAAACCAACTTTAATTCTAATCTCATTTCCTTAAATACAAGTCAGTTGAAGTCATACTACTAAGCTTACTGCTCTTTCTAAATGTCTAGTGTATTTCCAAAAGCCTCAAAATGCCGCACTCAATTTTGTGTCTCTGCTAAGGCCCATGCTGTTTAACTACCATGTGCTGAAAAGCATTGGGTTTCTCTAGAAAAGTTGTTTGTCCTACAATGAAACAAGAGTGAGGCCTCATTGGATGATGGAATATTTATCAACCAACTTATTAACAGCCCTATTTACCTTTTACACCTTCATTGGGAAATGCCCCTCAACAAAAGATGTAATAAGACATCAGAATTTTGCATGGTTTGTGGCAATATGCTACAGCAGAACAAGAGCAGATCAACAGCTCCGCTTAACACACCCAAAAATTATTTTTGCAGGTTTGCTGGAATTTTGTGCAGCAAAACACATAAAAGTGAATGGCACACCTACCTCTTCAAATATTTAAGGATACAGGTGTGTCTATGTGCTTGCTGTGTAAAACACCAAAGTACACTGTGCACTCATGTTTTCTGCAGAAAGTGTGGCGCTCTTATTCTCTGGGCTGGACAGAAGTATACAGGGAGACACAAGAACAGCCACAAGAGGATGTGGTTCTGCATTAATGTGTCAAAGTGGGTATCATTTAATAACATTCATTGCTGGCATTCCATTAAGGCAAAAAGGTGTCTTTCTCCCTTCTCTTGGGGATAATGTACATCATTCAGAATCATGCAAGCGATGTAAAGTTGCAAATAACTCTTTTCCCACTCACATTATGCAAGGGCTTTGCCCCTCTGAGTGAAATAGATGTGTTTTTCGCCATAACCTTTAAATGTGCTCCATAATTCAAGTTCTTTTATACAAGTTAACACATACTGTGGTCCAGAGAAGGTCAAGCACATGAGAAAACTGTTTGCAATTACAAGTTGCATTTCTGAAGATCTCCTTTAGTGGCTGGTATGATGGACTGAGCAACGTAGAAACGGCCCAAAATATCCATTTAGCTTTTCTGCTTTCCCAAAACAAATGTCCTCTACACTTCAGAAGTCCTTTGATTGTTTTAATACACTCTTTACATTTGTAAACATTGGAATATCTTCAAGTTATCTCCTTAACCTACCTCACAGGGCTGTTGTGAGGATCAGTAATATTTGTACAATTCTTTAGAAAAAAAATAAAAGATTACATATGCAGCAAGTAGCATTATTAAGCATAAAGCAGAACCCAGTAAATATATGAGAAACCCTAGATGTAATGTGTAATTGAAACATACTATTTATTCCCACCCCCTTTTATGTGTAATAATAATTCCCTCAAACCCCTCTCTGCTGGCTGTGAGGATTTTTGTTTTGAAATCCTCTCTCTCTCATACCTGCATTTTAACTATTAGAATCATAGAGTTGGAAGAGACCACAAGGGCCATCGAGTCCAACCCCCTGCCAAGCAGGAAACACCATCAGAGCACTCCTGACATATGGTTGTCAAGCCTCTGCTTAAAGACCTCCAAAGAAGGAGACTCCACCACACTCCTTGGCAGCAAATTCCACTGTCGAACAGCTCTTACTGTCAGGAAGTTCTTCCTAATGTTTAGGTGGAATCTTCTTTCTTGTAGTTTGGATCCATTGCTCCGTGTCCACTTCTCTGGAGCAGCAGAAAACAACCTTTCTCCCTCCTCTATGTGACATCCTTTTATATATTTGAACATGGCTATCATATCACCCCTTAACCTCCTCTTCTCCAGGCTAAACATGCCCAGCTCCCTTAGCCGTTCCTCATAAGGCATCGTTTCCAGGCCTTTGACCATTTTGGTTGCCCTCCTCTGGACACGTTCGAGTTTGTCAGTGTCCTTCTTGAACTGTGGTGCCCAGAACTGGACACAGTACTCCAGGTGAGGTCTGAGCAGAGCAGAATACAGTGGCACTATTACTTCCCTTGATCTAGATGCTATACTCCTATTGATGAGGCCCAGAATTGCATTGGCTTTTTTAGCTGTCGCGTACGATTCCATTTTGGGTACTTTATACTCAAAAATTCCTCCCATTCTTTCCACCTGAACACCATCCATTAATGAGAAAAGAAAATGTATTTGAAAAATTATCCAAGCGAAGAGAGAATTTTGGTGAAATTCCCATGAGCAGGGTGCAGGCTTTTTATGACTCTTACCTTACCTCTGAAGTGGCCACGCTCAGGGGAAGCCATCATGAGGTAACTGCTCCATCATGGGGCCTTTTCAGATCAGAAAGCGTAGGTAGCCAGGGAAGGTACAGAGTGCTGAAGAATTGTTTACTGGAAAGAAAAATATATACATCCTCCTCAGAAAAAAAAAGATCACTCAAAAACCTGACACTGACTGAAATTCTAAAGTGCTCTGAGAATGAGGCAGAAAAACAGAAGCCCCTTTTAACAGAGCAAGAAAACTTTTGAGAAACCAGAGGGCAGATTTTTCAGCATACCACTACTTTATGTACAATAATTAATGAAAAACTTCGTCAAAACAGAAGCATCACATTCTTTAAAACTAAATTGTAACCAGACCTTTTGGGATGACATGCATACTAGTGTCAAGAGGAGCAACAGCGTTTTCCTGAAAAACAAAAGGCAGCTCCTGAGGTAAAATGGACATTCAAGAGTCTCGGCTTTCATTGTAAGAACTGTTGACCCCTGAAGACTGACAAGTCCAAGTATAAAATGCAAGCAGCTCAATAAGAAACAACAGGAAGGGAAATAAAAGTCTGAAAGTTTGTTTTCCAGTTCGTTTCGTATAAAAGTGTGTATCATTATTTCAAGTTTCTCAAGTACACAGAATGCAAATTGGCATCCAATGCATTAAAAAAAATTGACACATAGATTACAAGCAAACAAAATAGGTAGGTTAGACTTATCTCATGGTGTATTTATTTCCAATTGATTTGCCTTTGCTGAAACTGACCCACTTTTTATTCTACTCCTGAAGTGGATTTTGCCCTTGGTAACCAGAGACTGAACAATTTTGCCTTGTTTGGTATGAAACATAGAATCACAGAATTGTAGAGGAGGAAGGGACCATGAGGGACATCTAGTCCAACCCCTGCAATGCAGGAATCTTTTGTTCATCG